TCCTCCTCCTCCTCCTCCTCCTCCTCCTCCTCCTCTTCCTCCTCCTCCTCCTCCTCCTCCTCCTCCTCCTCCTCCTCCTCCTCCTCCTCCTCCTCCTCCTCCTCCTCCTCCTCCTCCTCCTCCTCCTCCTCCTCCTCCTCCTCCTCCTCCTCCATTTCTTCGGTCTCGTTCCTACTCCATGTCCCATCTTCACTTTGTCGGGATCCAATCAAGGGGTCGCTTCTTCTCCCCCGGGGGTAGGGGTGGTATGTTTCATGTTGACTTCAGTACCCCCCATATCAGCTGATTAATTTGGGGTAGTAAAGTGATTTCCACCAACATTGTGGATCGAAGGGGGTGGTGGTTACTCTGATGGTGGGGTATCGAAATTGAGGGGTGAGGGTGGACAATCTGTGTTCCACTTTTTACCGGAGGGGTAGTGATTTTGAAGAAGGGGGTTGAGGATGGTCTATCATGGCTAAGGTAAGGGGATAGGGGTTTTTGATTCGAGGAAAATTGGATATTTTTGAAAGATCATCTGACTTCTTTTGATTATTGTTTTTTTAGGGGGTAGGGTAGTAGAAAGATTTTGGGTGAGGTTAACAACCGAGATACTGGGGGTGGAGGGGTGGTCTAGGTCCACACAAGAAAGGGACCTGCTCATGCAGGATAAGAGATGCGACGGGGGAGGGACGGGGGAGGGAGGGAGGGAGGGAGGGGGGAGGAGGCGCAAGGGATGGCGAGACTTCATAAGACAAGGAGGGTCGATGGTGAGGAAGAAGCATCAGCTCGTAGCAGAGGCGATTAGACGACATGGCGCAGGAGATGAACAGGGGAGGTGTGAACAGCCGGATCAGCAAAGGAAGCAGTGCGAATCAGGGAGGAGGGTTTGAGCTTGTGCTCTGAAGCATCTTGCTCCGGCGATGTCTCATTTACACCACAACAGTGTCTGACTGCTCTGGTTGACAGGGCATCTCTTCCCACTCACCTACCGCACTTTTCCATCATGTTCATGACATGTTCAGGTCCATTTCTCTGTACGCCGACCCAGTGCTGACATGTTTTCACCACGTTTCTGGCAGGCAAGCTTCAACAGATGATGGTAGATGTCCTCAGCCAAGTCGAGCAGCTGCGTAACGAGATGCAGCGAAGCTCCAACTCCTGTAGCGCTCCCTCGCACAATGGCGGAGTCATGAGCTCGTCGCATGCTCACCACGGAGGACATCACCATCACCATCACATGAGCCTCTCAGCCTACAGCATACCCATCTTCCATGTTGTTGTCGACCTGCTGAACATCATCGGCGTCGCCATCATGGTCTTCTCGACCATGGGCGTCATCATCCCAGTGATCCGCGACATTCTCCCCGGCTTCTTCCTCCACTCCCTCAGCGCCACCGCGCAGGAGAGCATCTTGACATGCCGCATGCAGCTCAGCCGGGGCATCATGCTTGGGATGGACTTCATGGTGGGAGCGGACGTGATCGAGACGGTGTTCGGAGAGGTGGACATGGTGAAGCTGATCTTGGTGGTGGCGATCCGATCCTGGCTGGGATGGGAAAGAGGCAAAGAGATGGAGCACATGACGCACGAGCTGCAGCACTGGAAGAAAGCTAGAGGAGCGCTGCTGGGTGAGCTCGGGGACGGTCTGACAGTCCAGAACTTCGCAGGTGTGTACTCCGTCCCATCCCCACCCTCTCCGTCTCGTACCAGCTCTTCCCCTTCCTCTCCTCACGATCGCTGCTCCTTGTTCCTGACCAGCGCACAGAGCGAGTACGGTCAGTGTTCGACAACTTCGACAACGACAAGAACGGGAGCATCGACGAGGAGGAGCTGTACCATGCGCTGTGAGGGGAGGAGGCTCCCCCGTTGGTCAGCTCACGTGGTGCAGGTTGAGCATCGGGGTGCAGACGACGAAGCAGGAAGTGAAGAAGATGATGGGCTCACATCATGTGAGGAGAGGAGGAGCTGTGGGAAGAGGAGGGAAGGAGCTATGGGGAGAGGAGAGGAGGAGCTATGGGGAGAGGAGAGGAGGAGCTGTGGGGAGAGGAGGGGAGGAGGAGCTGTGGGGAGAGGAGAGGAGGAGGAGCTGTGGGGCCTCTCACTCCTGAGCAGGTGATGACATACGACATATTCGAGGACCTCGTGCAAAAGATGACGTTCGCCAAGGAAGTTTCTGAACACTAGAAAAGCAGCATTCTCCCTCCTCCCTCCTCCCTTCCCTCCGCTGCTAATCCTCCCTTGTGCCTGAGGCCATCCCAGTGCTCTCCCTTCCGTGTCGCTCGCCGTCTCCTCCGTGTCGGTCCTCAAGCTTCCTTCTCCTGCAAGCGCTGCACTTCCGACCTGTCCAGTGTTATGAGAGAAGCGAGAGAAGAGAAAGGGAGGGAAGCGTCTCAAAGAGCAGATGGGAGTGTAGCAGGAAACGAGCGTACTTGTAGCGATCGAAGTTCTTCTTGCTGTTTTTATACGCGACCTCCTGCTCTTGCCGTCAGCGTCTCCCTCTGCCCCACCACCTCCTCACCATCTGAGGGAACATCTCCGCAAACGACTCCCAGAGGGGCATCACCTGAAGTTGTCTCATACTCTTCGTCTCCTCCCTCCTCTCCCCTTCCCTCTCCCTTCCTTCTCCCCCTTCACCCTCCTCCACCTCCACCTCCACTTGCTCCTGCTCCTGCTCCTGCTCCTGCTCCTGCTCCTCCTGCTCCTCCTCAAATCTTATCCGCCTCTCCCTCACCACATATCCCACGAAGTTCTGCTGTGTCTTAGCTCGGTTGAATGGCACATCGAGCTCCTGCATAAAGGGCGTGACCGCCACCCCTGCTGCCTCCTCGCTCGCCGCCTGAGATGCCGTCAGACTCAGCCATATCCACTTCTCCCACTTCTCCCTCTCCTTATCTTCCCCTACTTCTTCCTCCTCCTACTCTCTCCTCTCCTTGCTCCTCCTCTCTGTATTTCTTTCTTGCCTGTTCTTGAAATTCTTGCAGCACACGATTCCCCCAAGCTTCCGCCAAGCCATGGTTCTGCGCCTGAGCACTGTTTCCTCTCACAGACGAAGAGCACTGGGGGCAGAAGCAGCGAGGAGAAGAGAGGGGGGGGAGGGAGGGCGATGGCGGAAAGAGGAGGATTGGAGAAGAACGGACGAGAGGACAAGTAGTAGATGAGAAGGAAGGGGAACGAAAGAGTAGGGCTAGCAAACCTCAAATCGCAGGCGTGCAAAACGATCTCCATCAGTTTCTGTGGAGTGTAAGAAAGGATCGATCAAGAGAAGGAGATGCGGGAGGAGGGGAGAGGGGAGAAGAGGAGTGAAGGCTGCAGGACGCTACCATTCTATCATCTTCGTTGTCCACGTCCAAAGGGAGTTGTCCTTAAGTACCAGCAGCTTGTTAACTTACAATCGTCTCCTCTCTCCCCTCCTCCATGCCTCCGTCTCCTCACCATCGGTATTCTTCCCTTCCACTATCATCCTCATCCTCCCGCAGAGCTCGACGTGCCTGCAGGAGTCATTAATGCTGTTGAAAGCTGAGGAAGGGAGGGGGAGAATGGAGAGGAAAGGCAGAAGAGGAGGGGAGGGGAGGGAGACTTTTTCATGTCCGTTGCTAGAATCGCTGTGATGATTGCCTTTCGCACCTGTGAAAATTCGATCAGACCACCTTCCCTCCACCATACCTTCCTCCTCATCCATTTTCTCTCCCTTTCCTCTTCCTCCTCATCCTTACGCTAATGCTTTCTCGTTCTTCTCTTTAGTTCCTGACCGTATCCCGCGCCCCATCCTCCATCCTCATTCTCTTTTTCACCTGCGCAAAGTCTTCCTTGTCGAGGCTGGCAAGGATGTTACTTTGAGGTCGCCGAAGGATCTGCCAGACTGAGATCACTTGCAGACCTGAGGAGGAGGAGGAGAAGGAGGAGGAGGAGGAGGGGGCATCGCAAGACGGGGAGGACCAGGACACGGAGAGGACAGAGAGGAAGGAAGGATGGAGATGGCATCGATAGGGAACCTTGAAGGTGGTGGTACAATGGTGATTCTCAAGCACGCTGAAAGAAAAGAGGTATGTAAGTTAGCATGGCAACGAGGAGGAGAAAATGGTCAGGAGAGCGAGAGGAGGAGGAGGAGGAGGAGGAGGAGGAGGAGGAGGAGGAGGAGGAGGAGGAGGAGGAGGAGGAGGAGGAGGAGGAGGAGGAGGAGGAGGCGAAGTGAAGCGGAAGGAAGAAGTACAGTAAGACAGGAGGGAGAAGCGCAGCAGGACGTGCAGTCAATCAAGAGTAAAAACGACGAGGAGCCGGTAGAATCAGGAAGAGGGATAGGAGGCAGAGAAAGAGGAAGTAAATTCACCTGCAGTCGTTATAGAGGAGCGCGAGGTCAGACTCCGTCTTGACGAGTAGGTCGTTGGTTACCTGCTCATCCGATAAGCACATAATTTCTCCTCTTTTTCATCGTCCTCCCCTCCCTTCCTTTCACAGCTCCTCCTCAGAAGGTCTCGCTTACCCCAGGGTGGTCGACGTCATGGCAGAGTGACGCGGTGATAAGCGCGAGCTTGTCAATATCCTAAACGACGGTCAGCCTCCTCTCTCCTCTTCCTCCTCTGCTCTCTGCAACCCCCTCCCTCATCTTCTCTCTTCCTCCTCAATCCCCCTCCTCCTCTGACACCTCTCCCCACTCTTCTCCACTCTTCAAGGCCTCCTCTTCCCCCTCCACCTAGTCTCTTCCTCACCGTCAAGTAGTCTGTCACTGCTGTGTCCCGCAACACAACGTAGAGCGTCTGCCATTGAATCGAGAGAAACGTATGAATAGGAGAAGCAGGTGGAAGGAGGAAGGACGGGAGCAGGCGGCATACCTGCATGACCGCGAATGCATGTCGGAAGTTGTGGAACGGGCAGTGATTGTACTGTCTGTAGGAAGAGGATCAGAAGGCACAGGATGGAACTTGGGAAGGAGGGGGGGGGAGGATCGAGTGGAAATGAGGGAAAGGGGGGGGGAGGAGGAGGGAGCGAGAGGAGAGTCTACTTGAGAGATTAGCTTCACCTTTTCACATCGAGGATGAAATGGAGAAGCACGTCGTCCTTGATGTTGAAGTGATCGGAAAGACCCGAAGACTGGGGACGTGGGTGAGCTGAGTTGGAGGACGACGGGGAGGAGGGAAGCAGATGGAGAACGGGAGGAGGAGAGCGCAGCTGAGAAACTTCGTAAGACCTTGTAGATGTCCACCGCATAGACGACGAGCTGGTCCTCGGTCCTGTCCCAAACGTTGAAGTCCTGCTCCCATGATAAGACCAAACAATCCATTCCCCTCTCAGCCTCTCTCGCCCCCTTCATCCTACTCCTGTTCTTGCCCCTGCCCCTCCCGTCCAGTCCTTCCCACTGTTGCTCTCTGACTCTCTTGCTTATCATCCCTCTCTTCCATCTCCAACTCACCCATGAGAGCTCCGACGCCAACGCTCCTGTCTGCGTCAACTGCAGGCGTTCTCACATGCTCGACCAACGCGTCAGGGGCTTCACCTGAAAGCCCTCAGGCACGCAGAAGACGGTTGATCTGCGACGGTTTTCTGCAGGCGAGACTCATGCAAGACGAGGCAAGAGAGGAGAGCTGTCCCGAGGCAAGGACAGCATGACGAGCACGCAGAGGAGGGGCAAGGGAGCGGAAGAAGGCAAGGGGGGGAGGGGGGGGGGAGGAGGGAGGAGGGAGGAGGGACATAATATTTTGCGCACCGGACCCGATCTGGATTATTAGGCTGCCCGGGGGGCTGTCTGCCCCCTCCATGGCACCTAGTTTAATGGTCATACTT